TCTTCCACCCTGCATGATGCTTATTTGGGTATGCATGATTTTTTTTTCTGTCATTTTTAATGAAAAACATACAATTCAATTTCATACTATGATTTCTACCTGGACAATCATTAAATTTAAAGTCTGAAATTTTCCACCCAGCACTATTATTAAATTCTTGGTATTTTTCCACCCTTCACTATAATTTGAAACATGAGAGTAGGTGTGAAAAAAGTAGGAAATGTATAACAAAAGTTAACATATAAAAGAACTACTAACCGCTGACTATGGGAAGAGATAATCACTGAATGGAATAAGCACAACCAAATTATATGAATAGAAAAATAAAACATGTCCAAAGTAAATTAAAAACAACCCTTCATACACATATTCTTAACATGAATTCCATTTTTGTTAATAAAACAAGCATAAATACAGAACAAAACTTCATAAAATGTACAAGACATGAAAAATAACAAACAGCATACAAAACTATTTAAGTAAAATATGAATTAAAACCATTTATATGCATATACACTTACAGGATTTGAGTTGAAATCAGAGAATATATATAAAGAGAAAATAAGTCAAAACTGAATATACCAAACATAAAAATATTACAACTGTAAATAAATACACATGCAAACAAACAAAGTAAATAGTCAGTAGACATACATATGTATATATCAGTACTCAGGATCATCAAAAGGTGGTCAGTAGGTTATCACCCTTCATTTGGTTGCTCAAATCACTTCTACCAACAGTCCGTAAAGTCCTATTGAATATGGTAGAATTCTGAGGTCACTGCTGCTGACATCAGAATCCTTAACCATCCATTCAGTTATGTCACTGCCATGAAGATTATATTTGATTCTCCAATCTTCAGACACTTCTTAAAGATAGTTGTTTACTTGAAATATACAGGACTGATGGAATAGAGTGTTACATGGGTGAAAACAAGATTCCTGAACCACTAAAAGATGAAGTTCAAGATGTGCTGCTTCGATACAGCTTTGGATGGTTCAGGGACATCAGGTGATGAGCTGCTGCTCATTTCTTTTAATATCTTGTCTTCATTGTCATCCTCTAAAGAGAAGATAATCCAGAAAACAGGAACCAAAAAGGGGGACAGGCCATGTTCACCAATGTTAGAACTGGAGGAGTATCTGCACTTAGAAAATTAATTGTGAATGAAGTATTCATCATGATGTGAATTAACTTTGAGACTGAGTGTGTCTTCCATAATACTTAAAAGTTTCAAATCTTAAAAGGAAAATTATAAGTAAGATCTAATACTTTCACTCAGCATGAGAGTTAAAGTAATTGTTTAATTGTTGTTCTGTGCTAAAGTAAAAAAACACAGAAAACAAAGATATGATTACTGGAGATTCAAGTCTCATTATAGCATGACAATTGGTAAAACTTATCTTCAACCATATATATCATAGTTTCAAGTGCTGTCAACACATGGTTAACAATATGATTACTGGAGATTCAAGTCTCATTATAGCATGACAATTGATAAAACTTATCTTCATCCATATATATCATAGTTTCCCGTGCTGTCAACGCATGGCTGACAATATGATTACTGGAGATTCAAGTCTCATTATAGCTTGACAATTGGTAAAACTTATCTTCATCCATATATATCATAGTTTCAAGTGCTGTCAATGCATGGTTGACAATATGATTACTGGAGATTCAAGTCTCATTATAGCTTGACAATTGGTAAAACTTATCTTCAACCATATATATCATAGTTTTCTGTGCTGTCAATGCATGGTTGACAATATGATTACTGGAGACTCAAGTCTCATTATAGCGTGACAATTGGTAAAACTTATCTTCAACTATATATATATATCATAGTTTCCCATGCTGTCAATGCGTGGTTGACAATATGATTACTGGAGATTCAAGTCTCATTATAGTGTGACAATTGATAAAACTTATCTTCAACCATATATATCATAGTTTTCTGTGCTGTCAATGCATGGTT